AATTAGAGAGAGTCCTTTTAGATGGCTTGGTCACATTAAACGTCGACCATCAAATGATCCGTATAGGAGAATAGATGTTTTAGATTCAACTTATGTTAATAAAGGCAGAGATAGACCTAGAAAGGCTTGGACATATTGTTAAAAAATGATCTTAATTTATAGAATTAAATAAAAATATGACACTCAATAGGACGTAATGGAGAAAAATGATTCATGTAGCCGACCACACTTAGTGAAATAAAGTATTGTTGTTGTTGTCGTTGTTGTTGTAGGAAATCTTATCAATCGAATCTAGTCAGATACTTAAATTTAAAACACAACTTCATATTTTAATGGTTACATATCCTCACATCAAAACTTTCCCTTCTACTGTATAGCTTAAAAGCTTTGGTTGTGTATCTGTTGTTCAAATCATTTCCCAAAATCACACAAAATTTAACCCTAAATCAATCTAGAATATATTTTTTTTTTGTATGCCTCCAACAAAAAAGGGGCATATAAGTATTACTCTCCACTTATCAAATACTATAACTCCATGGATGTCACATTTTTTGAAAATCAATCCTACTACCAAATTCTGATGTTCAGAGAGAATACAAATGAACATCAATTTTGGGATTCACTTGAGACTGACACTACCTCGCTACCTATTCCACCTAGCCCTACTATCCTGGTTGAAGATGTCCAACCAATCCAACTAACCCAACATGAAGTTAATAACAAAGAATCATGTGTAAACGAGGAAAAAATCTTGAACAAGTGGAAGACAACTTACAAGGGCAGAACTACTCAAACCAGAATCCGAGCCCGCATTCACCTGAAATATTGGGTCCTAAGGAGTTTAGTACTCATGAGTTATCTCCTTCCTCTTCAGATGTTAGTGACAAGAAAAACTATATTAGATATTCAATTCAGGAGTATGAAGTTAATGGGAAACTATCCTCATCCTACAAAGCTTTTGTATCTATCTTTGATAATGTACAAATTCCTAAATTCACTCATGAGGCTCTTGAAAATTGAGAATGGAGGAAAATAGTTGAAGAGGACAATCAAACATTAAAGTATAATGGCACATAAAACTTACTAAACTCCATCAGCATAAGAAGTCAGTTGGATGCAAATCGGTGTTCAATATCAAATACAAAACTAATGGGAGTATTGAGAGATTCAAAATCTAAATTGCTGCAAAAAATTTCACTTAAGCATGTGAGATTGACTATAAGAAGACTGTAGCATCAGATGTCAAAGTAAACACTATCAAATTTCTCCTGTATATTCAAAAAGCTCTTGAAAATTTGGAACAGAGCAAAAACAGATGAAGAAGAGATTCAGGCACTGAAATATAATGGCAAATGAATTCTTACTAAACTCAATTAGGATAAGAAGCCAGTTGGATGCAAAGGGGTGTTCAACATCAAATACAAAGCTGATAAGAGTATTGAGAGATTCAAAGTCAAACTTATAAAAGTTTCACTCAAGCCTATGAGATTGGCTATCAAGAGACCTACACATCTGTTATCAAACTAAACACTATTAGAGTTCTCCTTTCAGTAACAATTAATAAGGAATAGGAACTGCATTAAATTGACATAAAAAATGTCATCTTTAATAGAGATCTGAAAGAAGATGTGTATATAGAGATACCAACAAGACTTAAGAATGATTCCAACAAGCAAATAGTATGCAACTCAGGAATTATCTCTATGGAATTAAGCAATCACCAAGGGAGTGGTTTGAAAGGCTTTTTAAAACTATGAGATCAATAGATATTCTCGAGGTCAAACTAATCATACTTTGTTCATAAAACAAACTCAGGGAGGTAAAATTGATGTGCTGATAGTATATATGAATGATATGATTATTACTAGTGATGATGAAAGAAAGATTCTCAAGATCAAAGAATAGCTTGCCACTGAATTTGAAATCAATGACCTAAGAACCATGAAATATTTTCTAAGCATGGAGGTTTAAAAAAGGCATCATTATATCACAAAGAAAATACATCATAGATCTGCTAAAGATGAGAAATGTTTGGATGCAAGCCCAGTGATACCCCAACGGATCCTAACAAAAAGTCTAAATAGGAAAAAAAAAAGTGTTTGGGGCTAAGGGAAGATATTAAAATTGGTAAGAAAACTCATCTATATGTCACATAAGAGGCCAAATATTATATACACTATTAGCATTGTGAGCCAACAAATGAATAACCCAAATGAAGAGCATTTGGAGATTGTGAGTAGGATCCTTTCTAAAAAATGCTCCTGGTTATGGATTATTTTTTTAAAAAAATTGAAATAGAGAGGTGGAAGCCTACACTAATGCAAGTTGGGGTGGGAAAATCATTGACAGAAGGTCCACTAGGTTATTGCTCCTATGTATGGGAAAATTTGGTTATATGGAGAACTAAGAAGCAAGTTGTTGTTTCTAGAAGCAAAATTAAATCAAAGTACAAGGCACTTGCCTTAGGAGTTTGTGAAGGGATCTGGATTCAAAAGTTATTAAAGGGATTAAGGTGCACCAACAATAGGCCTATACAGATATTTTATGACAATCAAGCAGCCATCAATATTGTCAAGAATCCAACGCGTCATGACAGAACCAAGCATATTGAAATTGATAGGTATTTTATCTCTAAAAAGATTAATCATGGAATTATACAGCTAGGCTACATTCCGACGCCAACAAGTTGTTTATGTCTTCACCAAAGCTCACAAGTTGTTTATGTCTTCACCAAAGCTCTCAAATTTCAATACTAAGGTTGGTCTCCACAACATCTATGACCCAACTTTAGGGGGAATGTAGAAAACTAAGAAGTTTGGCTCCTATCCATGGTGGTCGGTCGGTTGCTTCGTAAAATCATGGAAAGATTTAATTGGGAATATGTTTGGAAACATCATTCTAATTTTTATTCACTTTCCATTTTATGTTTCTTTAATTCAGAATTAACTCCTTTCTTGTATAGACAGGATATATTTGGTAAGTGAGTAAATTAAGAGGGATTGATTTCTCCATGTATGTACATATGAAAGATTTAATTGGGGATATGTTTGGAAACATCATTCTAATTTTTATTCTCTTTCCATTTTATGTTTCTTTAATTCAGAATTAACTCCTTTCTTGTATAGACATGGTATATTTGGTAAGTGAGTAAATTAAGAGGGATTGATTTCTCCATGTATGTACCTCATATGTGAATAATAAACTGAAGTGATTTTTCCCCATATCTATTTTCAACATAGACAGATGTTATTTTCTTGAAAGTAGGTAAAATCAAGAAATTCTGACATTGCCTTAATAGAGTCTTGAAATATAACAGTAGAGGCAATGTTGGGTTCAAGATTGATGAGCAGCCAATTAAGAAAAAAGTTGCGTGGCTTTTCCAAAGCTGATAGTGTCTTGGTTTTCTTAAAGAAAAACATAATGGAGATAAAGCTCTCCATATAAATATAGTATAAACCATTGAATCAAATGATAGTATCAATAATAGAGGGTTTGTACCTTAAATAAAAGATTCTTTTTCCCATTTTCTATTTCGGAAATAAAAAAATAAAATAAAATAAAATGGCAAAATCAGTAATACAGGATTAAGAGTCCATTTTACTATGCAAGAGAGTGAAAGGGATGGAGAATCCGAGTGTAAAGTAGTGATAAATAAATACCTTGGATTATGTTAGAGATGGGAAACACTTATTTGTGTCGTATTCACTATAGAATTTGCAATTGAGAACTGAGCATAATATTTTGAAAAACGATTAAAAAACATGCAACACTTAGTAAACATAAATTGCTTCCCTAATTTAATATTTTCCTATGCTAATAAAATCAAATTGATCCGCACAATGTCAAGGAAGACCAAACAAAAATAAATAAAATGTAGGGCTTCAATGTTTCCAATAAAATGATCAGCATGGAAGACAAAATATCCCCAACAAAATACAATCATAGCTTTTTTTCTTTCCCTGTTCAATATGTCGAATATCTCCTTCAATAATAAATGTCAAATATCCTAAATGCAATCAAAATAATACGAAAAAAAAAAGAACTGGCTACAGAATGTAATCATTCTGACGCTCTCACTTCTAAAGACTCATCTGCTTACCATATGTTTTCAGAAGTTTTTCCTAACTAGGTTACAGAAATTAGAAAAGTATCCAGGAATGGATGTAAAAAGACCAAGAATGGATAGATGTTAAGCAATGGTTGTAGAGAAGGCAATGCAAAACCCTTTAAGTAGAATGATGTTGAACTGTTAAATATCGAGATGCCTTCTGGTATAATAATTGAAATTCCATTTAAAGCTACAATACTACTTGCATGGGAACAGTATTGGCTGGGTGACCTCCTCAGGAATTACAACAATGAGGCCATTAGGCCATAGCAGACAATATCTCCTTTGGTGTGAGTTTACGATGTTATAAATGGTATTAGAGTGTTACGTCAGTCTTAAGAGGAGAACTACGTGTCATACAAAACAAAGTACAAGCTATGAAAGCCACCTCTTCAATCTTAAATCGGACAAAAAGCTATATGTTAAGAGCCACCTCTAGAATCTTATCCACCTGGTGAATGATTCTGAGTTTACAAATATTGACAAAGATGGAAGGGTGGTGTTTACTTAAGTGAGAGAGATTTTGAAATACCTTAAGTTATTAAAGCTGAACTTTTAAATATCAAGACGTCTTTTAGTGCAGTGGTAGGAATTTCATCAAAAACTCCTAAGTTAAGCATATTTGTATGGGGGCATACTTAGGATGGATGACCTCCTAGTTCAGGATGTTACAACCAATGCATAATAAATGAAAAAAAAAAACAAAAAAGGGGAAATATATTTTAATAATAGCAAAACAATGCAGACAAAAGCTAAATTAAGAATCATTAGAATCCAAAAAGTTAAATTCAATGATATTAAACAACTCTCATTGTATAAGCAGCTAAGCTTTAAAATAGAAAATCAAGCAGATGATGAAACTACAAAAGATTAGCTATTAGACCAAGGATACCACTTGTGGGTGCTTTCTCCTGCATGCTAGTAAAAACCCTTGCTGTAAAAGAAAACAAAATTAATCAATAACAAGGGCATTTATTTGTATTTACAGGTTTAGTTTCGCTACTAGTTTTAGTAAATGCTGAAAGTAAACAGGAATGCGAATCTTCAAATAGGAACAGGGATAAATAGCAATGATGTTTATCAGTATAGTAAGTATTAGATAAACTAAAAAGCATTATCAGTAATATATAATTAAAAATTTTCAAATGTATAATGAAGATGTCAAAATTTTAAAACATTTCATAAACAAAGGCACCGAAAACTTCAAAAAATTGAATAAAGCAAATTACTAGTTGTTAGGACGCTAATAACCAAACTCACCAATAGCTCCAGCAAAGTTCAACATACATGTAATATCGCTCAGCTCTCCAGTGCTTTTGTTCTGAAAAGCAAAAAACTCAGCATTGCAAGTCAATGGAATATATGATGAACTAAGAAATTAAAGTGAATAATCAGAAGCAACATGACGCCTCAAAAGAAAAAATATTTTCTCCAACTATAGTGCCACTAAAATTAAATTGACACTATTCTGATGCTTGGAAAATAGATAAGAAGAGAAATGGCCGGTTACTGATTTTACAGCCAAATTCCAATTTCACAAGTGATATTTCAGATGGAAAAGGACCAGACAAAAAGCCACTTTTTGTCATAAGGACCTTTTGGTTGCAATTATTTGGAATTCGAAAGTACTAAAAATACAATATAAAAAAAAACATGCTTTTGAAATATTTCGCTGTTTAGTAGCATGTACTAGAAATTTACGATTTTAGATTTTGTTGTTTGCATGCATGCAGAGTAAAACTAATACTTGAAATACAGTAGTTGGCAATGGTGACGGTGAACTATGGCAACTGTGGTCGGCAGTTTGCAGCAACCGTAGTCGGCGGGCAACAACAAGTGGCAACAATGGAAGACAATAGCAAGTGCTGGTAGTGGCCAGTAATGGCCAACGATAGCCAACGTGTGGTGGTTGGCAACTGCCAACCATAGCCAACGTGTGGTGGTTGGCAACTGCCAACGGTAGGTGGGGAAGATGAGCTAGTATATTAAAAAATCATACAAATATGCGACCATAGAAACGACCAAAAATTCAATAAATAGTCCCTTAATAAACATTATTCTCAAAGTTACAGGAATCTATTCCACTCTTGATAAGAATCTGGTTATAAATTATAGTAACAGCATGAAATTATGACTTAAAAAGTATGTCAATATTAGCTCCCTTGCGCTAAGATTAATGCATTATACCACTTCTAGATACTACCAAACATTCGCTTACATTCCTCGGGCATGTCGCCCATCCTATAATAAATTGAGCTTAAGCTTTCATTTCTAACAAGTCAAGAGTTGATTGGTTTCAGAATATTAAAATTGTAGCACCAGTGAAACTGACCTGGAGAAATATATAATGACAGTCAGAACTCTCACCCATCAAGCCTAATGGCCTTGTGATTTTGCCCCGTTATTGTAGCTTCCTAGGAGGTCACCCATTTTGCGAGTGCTCCATAACAAGCACGCTTAACTTTGGAGTTTCAAATGAAATTCTACTGTTACAAAAAAAGACACCTTGATGTTTAAGAGTTTGACTTCAATCTACTTAATAGATTTCACAATCTTCCGAGCTTAAGTAACTAACATCCTTGTCAATTCTCGAATCCCAGAACCATCCACCATGCTGATGGGATTTTACAGATGCCTCTTATAGATTCAAGAGGAAGCACCCACCATGTAGCACTTTATCCCATCCAAAGTTCAAGAGGTGGCATAGCACATTATTTTATATGACGCTTAATTCTCATCTTCTAGCTAGTGTAATGTTCTGATATCATTTGTGACAGCCCAAACTCTCAACCATCAAGGTATTGTCCGCTTTGGCTCAGTGGCCTCACGATTTTGCCTAGTTGGTGTATCTTCCCATGAGGTCACCCAGCCTAGGAGTGTTTCATGACAAACATGCTTAACTTTGGAGTTTCTGATGAAATTCTGGCGTTATACCAAAAGGCGCATGAATGATTAAGAGTTCAACTTTTATCTACTTAAGGGGTTTCACATATGCGGTTGAACTCAAAGATTACCAAAGATACATAGGCGATAGGTTTAGGTTTATTTTAATTAGGAATTCAAAATTAAGTAAAATTATTCTTACAGAAAATTATTAGGATTGTATGGATAAGACATTGTTAGATCGGCACCTAAAGGGAACTTTGTCTTTTATAAGCCTATGAGCAATTTAGTCTTTTATTATTTTATATTTAATATAAATAAGGATAATATGTATACGGTCAAGATTATGCATGAAATTGGGTCTGAGTCTTAGGTTTGGAGCTTGGGAGACATTTCCTACCTCTCGAATTGTAAGAATTGGGAGAAATCGTCCAATTCTCGAATTATAGATGTTTATCTTTGTATTTATGTTGAATGTTTGATGTTCTTATAATAAAAAAAGTATTTGCCCTAATCTCTATGGAAGATTCCTATCAGATATAGATTTAGATTAGATATGATATACATATGATAGTCCTGCTAGTGATGAATCAATGACTGATTAAATTATGGCTTCATTCCCTCTCCCTCCATCTCTCTCTCTGTTCTCATATCTTTCTTTCTATCTCATGCTTCTCGTGTCCCTTCCTCTAGAGTCCCTCCTTTAAGTACTTGCTCTCTCTCTCTCTCTAGAGTCTCTTTTTATTGTCACTCCTACAAATTAGTAACAAAGTTGAATGATTCCTTTCTGTTTGATAACAATCCCTGAACAGACTCATCTCATAACAATACTTGCCAACAAATAATTGCCACGTGCTGCCCACAATAAACCTGCTTCTACACCATAAACTTCATGCTCAATCACTGCAACCATTATTGACATGATACCACAATTGCATCAACCAACCTAATTTTTAGTGCCACTGCATAGACAACTAGCGCCACCCTTCACACTTGGAATTAGGGAGGCAAATGAATGAAACTGTGTAACTGAATTGAGCAGGAGGTTATCAATGCTCGAGCTCATTCACCCAAGCTGTACAAACTCTGTTTGAGCTCAATTTGAACTTTTAGAATATTGCTCAAATTTGATTCATTTAAATTAAGTCATAGTCAAGCTTGACTCGAACTTGGCTTGAGCTTGACTCTCTTTCAGCCTTCGAGCAGAGCATGACAAGCATATAAATAAATAATGACTTTAATTCAAAAAGCTTATTAAATTTTAATAAGCTAACATAATCCTATTAAGTTTACAAATTGAAATTCTAATTAAACAAGCCTTTAAACAAAGCCTAAAAATATAGCCTCGCCAAGCCAAACCGAACAGCTTGCAAACCCATATGCATAAAAATATTGCTTCTCCAAGTCAAACCGAACAATTTGTACACACACACATATGCACAAAGAGCTTAATCATTGGAGCTTCTTCTTTTCAATCAAAAAATAACAATGAAAAATATATCTGACATGGGACCAAGTACATGTAAGGGTGAAAAGCCTAAAGCCTCTGATAGCGAAGTTAACACAATCCACAACGCAAAACACGAATTTATTAATAACTTGAAAGACAGTTACAACGATGACTCAAAAGAAAGAAAAACCTTGCGCAAATCAAAACATAAAACGAAACATTACAACAGAGTTTCAACACATAAAGACACAACAAGCTCGACGTAAAGGGATTTCGGAGAGATGGTGTCAAGGCGGTGGCTGCGTGAAGGTCGGAACGATGTCGAGTGAAAGTAAGACAACGCTCGTCAAGGTGTCGAATCGCAGCTGGAAGAAGCGGGGAACATCGTCGAAGGCTGGAATCTGGAGGCGACGGGAAAGGCAGTCGAAGCTAAGGAATGGAGGCACGAATGGCGGTAGAAGCCAAGGAGCGCATGCACGGATGGCGGCGGAAGCCGAGGAGAGGAGGCATGGACGGTGGACTACAAGAAGGCTGGGGGCAGCAGCTCGAGACACTCGAAGGGCCTATTGGGGACTGCCATTGTTGTGAAGGGGTGACAGAGGTTGTAGACTGCAGATGGGAGCATGTTGCAACGTTGGGAGGCACAGGGAGGATCTCAAGGAGCCTACGACCTACTAGGGATGAGGCGACAGAGGGCAAGGAGGCAGAGGAGCTGACGGCTAGATGGCTGGATGGGCAACAAGTTATGTGGTTGCCTACAGGAGAGCTGCAGGTGGATCGACGTTGGTCCGGAAAGCAACTGGGCGGCTTCTGCTTGCATGGAAGCTGCAAGGGAGAGTTGACCGACTGTATTGAGGCGCCGACAAAGTGGAGCAGTTGCAATCCTACAGGGAAGCTGTAGAGGCATAGCGGGAAGGTGAGGAAACAACAATGTCTCCGGCGGTTGTTGGCTGGCAGAGAGGTGGTCAGTTGTGTTGGAGAGGGACTGGAACAACGACAGATTGCAGGACTGCATGTCATAATCGGGACTATGAAAATCAACACCAACTCGAACGAGGTTACAGCTGGAGTATCGTCTTCGTAGACGAATACAGGCCTCAAGAGGAAAAATATTCAGACAAATGAATTCAGATTTCAAAATAAAAACCCCTTAACCCTAGTCACATCAACTCCTATTTATAAAAGACTTGACCCAGTTTAGGAAATATTTAAACTTAGAAAGAACAAAAAATAAATCAAAACCTCAGATTTTGGGAAGGGTTTTAAATTGAGAAAAGAGAATAAAATCAAAATTTAGGGTTTTAGAAAAGGATTTAAATTAGGAGAGAGAATAAAAATTAGAGTTAAATTTTAGGAAAAGTTTTTAAATTAGGAAAGTTCTAGGAAGGAAACTGAAAAAAGAAAGAAATGAAGGAGAAAGGAAATGAGGGAAGAGGAAGCAGCCCCCCCTCCCTTGAGGACTGGTCGAGAAAATACTCTCCTTCAAATTTAGTGTGAAACATGAAAACATGGATTTATTTATTGGTCTTTTTAATTAGTGTGAAACTTCACATGAAACTTTCAATTTCATTAGCCTACATTAATATGAAGCTTCATATTAAAACCTAAAATTAATTTTATTTTTAAATTTATTTTTAATTTTTTCTGAGTTAATAATATAAATAAAAAATGAATTTTAAAATTAGATTTTATTCATAGTTTACTTAAATGAAGTTACATTTTAGTTCTATTTTTATATTAACTTAATATCAAGTCTTAATCGAGTTTCTTACGAGCTTATTCACAAATTTTAGATGATATTATTCATGGACATTAAAAATTGAGCAATAAGGTGTTCAAATTTGTTCATTTAACAACTAATTATTTATAAAAGCATTCAAGCTTGTTCAACTAGTTATTATATGATAATGAACAAGCTCTAGTTGAGTCGAATCACAAATAACTTGTCGAACTCTTTATTCATTTATCTCCCTACCTACAACGCTTCTTTTCTATGCTACCCCTACCAACATCCCGTGGGGCCGCACCACTCGCACAAATTAAACTTACTCAATTAGGAATTCCCCAACATTCCAACCAACCCAATCCACCTCATTGACCCTTCTGATATCATACTACTATTCCCCAATATCGTTCTCCATTCCATTGCAAACCTATCGAATGAGACTCAAAACCATCGTGCACCACTACCACCACAATTAAATTTTCAAGAGATGGAAAATTAATTTGAAATAAACAAAATTTCTACCATAAAATTTTGAAAGGTGACTTCAGGCACATCAATGAAAAGACGGGCCATACCATTCCATTTGTGAAATAGCATTTTCGACACATGGGTAGTGATGCTAATTATGATATGAAATTAACATGTGAAAGAAGAAAATTGTAGCTGCTAAATCTACTTATTAATAAGGTTTAGAAAATAGAGAAAATACTCTCCTTCCAGATCAATAATGGTCCAAACATCTTCTACAAAATAAACAATTGATGTTTTAGTTATTTTGATTCAGTTCAGTAGAGTTCATGATGATTTTCAAGAACCTAGACTCTAGAAATAGCTTGCCTTAATTTATGATGGTGTTTTGAAGGACTTATTTCCCGATATTTGTGCTGTTATTAGTGATTTTAGATATTTCTTCCCATGATCTCATCACTAAGGATGTCAAAAAAAGCCGATCAACCATCTACCTGTATGATTTTGAAGGGGTCACCAAGTCTAGTCCCATTCTAAGGATCTCAATAAGCTAAAATCTATCATTCTGATCGAATAGGTCTTGAAAATACATTTTTATTTGAATTATGTATATATAAACATAGTTATAAGTCAAATCAAACTTTATAAAAAAATTGATCTTATATATGATCTAGACAAACATAATGACATATCCTAGCAAAGAAGTCGTATTCGACTTTCTAAACTGCTCGTGTTCAATTCGTTCATCAAGCAAGCGAGTTGAACGCAAGTAGTTTTTTTTAGCTCAATTTATAAGCAAGTCGAACATGAACAAAACTTGTTTGATCGTGTTCAACTCATTTTAGCTCTAATTAATAAAATAAAAATAATATTTCTTATATTTTATATTAATTTTTAAGCATTATTTAAGAAATATCAAGCTAAATTTGAGCCACACAAACTAAAACAAATAAAAGAATTTTAATTAAACTGAACATGAACAAATTATTCACAAGTCATTTTCAAACAAACAAATTCCAATGAGTCAAACACGAACAAGCATTGGGCTTTGCATATCCTCTGCTCGTTTACATTCGTTATGTCATGACCCGACCTAGGAGCTTGAAATTTTCGAGGCAAGAATGGACGATCAGATGATGGAATAAAAACTTTTAATTTTCATTTTCTATTACAAATAGTTTACAATCCAAAGAAATTAAAGGAGTAACTAAATCAAGTAATTTAATTTAATGAATAAAAAATTACATTTCTATTTGTTGATCTCGTCTTTTATACAAATTTTATCATATATTACACATGTTTTATTCAAAAGCTTAAATCTGATGAAAAAATACTAAAAAAGCATAATGAATTGTCTAAAATAACCAAATGAAGTAATTACACTTCTAAAGAATAGTAACCCAAAAAAAAGAAGTAAATATATATTGGTCTTTCTTATTTCATTATAGAAAATATTATAATAATCTAATAATGTATTCATGACATTTGTTCATGAAAATAATCTGGATTTTCTATATGCATTAATTTTCTTAACTTTTATATTTATCTCAAGAACATCATTTAAATATAACATAACACACCTCTGGCTGATTCATAACCCGTCGACACAACAGGGTGCAGATAATGTCTATTATTATCTGAAGTGGAAATGTACATACTCACTCCGAGATGATACTCTTGTCGGCATAACGGTTCGTGATCTAAATTTCACAATTATCAGAGGTGATAGGAAAACAAATACACGTGCAAGTACATTGGTGTTTCCAGACAATACCATAAAAGGATGGACTCATCTTAGCATGCAATTACAAGCATTCATATATGCACTGTTTGCATTCTTCATAGCATGTATAATTTTCTTATAAAAAAATTTATATAAATATCATCCTAACATAATCTAAAAGTCATGAAATAAACTCATGTTATTCTGTAAAAGATGAAACTATTGTGCCATTATTTATAAAGAAATATCTACATGTATATTTCATGTTTATCAATTTGAAGAGTTGGTTGTAGTTTAATTTCATTGATATAAAGTATAAAAGTGAAAAATTGAAATCAGAAATAGATTAAAAATTATGAAATAATATTATAGCTTAGAAACATAACTATTTACATTAACCTTACTTGTTTATCTCTCTCTTAGAAATCTTATTTTCTTGTTCTTACACCACTCTGGCTTTCTTTTATCTTACCAATTTGACTAACCCTTTCAAGTCAATTAATTAACTTACCTGATTATATTTCATAAAAATTCCTAAAATTAATATCTAATAACTTAACATTAAATTGACTTATAAACGAAATTCGAATAACACTAACCTTAATTGTCTTTTCTTCTTCCTCCTATTGTGCAACTTTAACAATCTCTATCTCCAAATCTTTTAAATCAAAAATTTTTCAGTTTTAATTAATATTATAAATTAATATAATCTAGTATAAATATTTTAATAAATATAAAATCTAAATTAAATAAATCAAACTTTAACTTTAATTAACTTATATATTTTCCTTCAAGATGACCCACTTATCATTCTCGAATCTTAATTCTCTTCAATCTTTTCGGATTTCAAATAGCATACTCTCATATTAATTCATTAAGTGTAAATCAACTTAATGTATAAAAATAACTTTAAAAAATCAATGCTAACCTCACGTTAATCTGTTAGGACCGAGCTCCCCCTTATCTCACAAACGAGCCTCTCCTTTTTTGCATGCAAACACATAGTGCTTTGAGTCCCTTCTTCATCTTTAATGCTGCTTGGTTTGCCCTTTTCTCCCATACATAAGACCACACAGTTCAACCCGCATGCAAAGCTTCTTCTTTCCTAGCCCATAGTACCCTGCTCGGCATCAACTTCACCTCCCGAGCGCACAAGTGCTTCCTCCTTCAGTTTCAACGCAGAGTGCACTACTCTTCCACACACACAAGATTGTCACACTTGACTCGGCTTCACCTCTGAGCATAGCTCCTTCCTACACAACATCATCTTCCTTGCACGAGATGCACACAGCCTCACCTCGTTCTTCTTACTTCTTGCATATGAGTCACTTATCCTCGTTGCTCTCTCTATATCTCATCCGGTTTGAGGGGAGATATTCATCTCCTACTTCTCCTCTTTTACGCTTCGTCTTCGTCTCCTCTTCCACTTACAAATGTTACATCATTTCCTCGAGATGAATGCTAAGCAATTATCAGTATAGTTGATCTTCAATTTCTCCTTAAGCGAAAGTCCAAGTGTCACACAGCAGAAGTAGCAATACTTAGATTTAACTTCATTAGAATTTTGAATTTTAGTAAAATTACCCTTTTAGGTAATTATTAGGGTAATTGTATATGATAAATTTAAATTTAAATAGGATCTCATCTTCTTATCACCACGATTTCAATAAATGGGGTAGTTAGGCTTATCATTGGTCAAGTAATGATTGAAAAAAATTATATAGATCTATATATATATATATATTATTATAAAGACATTTACAGTCCTAAACATGCATATCAATTCATGCACTTTTCAATACATTTAATTAAACCAATACATATGATCAACATTAAAGTATCAAATATGCTTCTTAAACAAAAATGGCAGGAAAAAATTACTTTATAGTTCTCCCATATCTGGGGAATTCTAGCAGAAAAGAATATGGCATGTTGAGAAGCCTGCAAAGAAAATAAGAAAATACAATAAAATAAAATAAAAACACTTCAACAAATTAGATAACCAAGTAAGCACAAAATGCAAATTTATAAATGTAAAATCTAGAATTGAATATGGAGATGAAGCTGACTATATTTGAACAAAAAAATTTCAATCATGATTGCAAGACATAAAAAATACAAGAGACCTAGTGAAACAAAATGTCTTTAGCATTATCAAAACAGATTGATGTAATTAAAAAAAGAAATTTACATACAAGCCACACAATTCCTATGTATTTACATATCCAACACCTACAGTCTAACATTTACATTTATAGCACATTGGTGTCATAAACTTATTCATGAAAAGTGTATTGCAGTTTGTAAGTGTTAGTTAATAGTGGATTTTTTTAATGTGATGTTAAAGATATGAGTGTTACATGTGTAAATATGAAAGTTTAGGTGTTGAATATGTAAATATATATATGCAAATGCGCCTAAAAAAAGTGAAATAGGTAAAAATAATTTCTTAGACTCATGTCTTCAAAGGATATACCATATGGAATAGACAGTGATATATGAATTAATAATTGTTTTTTAACTATAGCTATAAAAAAGCACAATATTATTGTTAATTCATGTATTTCAGTATCTTGATACTATACTTAGAACCAATAAAAAAGAAAAAATGGACTCACATATAGTGCTTCAAACAGAACTGGGTTTATTTGACCAGCCAATACTGTAGGCGCTACAGCACAATATCTATCAATCAATTGTCAAGGAATAATGCTTTTTTAATTCAAGAAAAAATAGTTACAACTCAATACATGCCATAATTAAGACACCATCTGTCAATGTTGCTTTTTATTGCGCAGCATCTTTTTTTCTTTTATTCTGTTGCACTATTAAGTAGAACAAAAGACGATTTGGTAAAATTAAAATCAATTTTGCTTTCTGAATTACTGTGATGGCTAAACTTATTTAGTAAAAACTATTGTGAAGTAACTCAAATTGATTATATGAAAAACTTACAACAACAACAACAAGCCTTTATCCCACTGTGGGGTGGTAAAAGTACTATCAATTTTGCTTTCTGAATTGCTGTAATGGATAGACTTATTTAGCAAAAACTATTGTAAAGTAACTCAAATTGATTATATGAAAAACTTACAACAACAACAACAACAAGCCTTTATCCCACTGTGGGGTCAGCTACATGATTATATGAAAAACTTGAATGATAAAAATTAAAATCAATTACATTTATCTTTAAAATAATTCATCAAAATAATACTTGCTAAGTATGCATCTAATAATAAATTAAAATTAAAAATAATTTGCACTATAATTACAAGCAATTTTTAATAAAGAAATAAAGTTTAATATATTTGTCAATAGAAAGACCTCACAAGATATTTAAAAATAAAATACACCGCGGTGAGATTTCTTTTTTCTGATTGTTTATATCAAAATAGAACTTGGGTGCTTTTATCGTTAAAAGAAAAAAATCAAAACAATTTGGCAAAAAAACTGTGTTTGTAGAAAGCTTATTTTTAAAAAATTTTCATCTCTCATTTTTACGTTTTCTAAAACAAACATTCTCCATATAACATTAAATTTAATTTTTTATTAAACGCCTAATACTACTAAAATTTTAAGTCAGATAATCTAGTAATAAAATCAATGCTAAAGGCCAAAGTTCTTTTTGAGCAATTCAAGGTTTGAAAAACTAAAATAGACAAATTGTCACAGGATACAACAAAGCTGTGATCCATGTTTTAACTCCAAGTGGCGCTGAATAGTAGTAGAGGATAGCGACTAAAACTAGAGCTGCCCAAGAAAGATAAAACCAAGGGGTTACAACAATGACCTAAGAAAAAGAAATACAAAACTAAGTAGCTTGCAAAATAGGATTTTATAAACTGAATATATATACCTTGAATTAAAAGAAATGCTAACTCCCCAAAAGCAGAAAAAGGGAGACCCTTGTGAAGACAGTATGATAAAGCAATCGTGTAGCCAACCACCTCAAGCTCGAATGCTGTGACACTAAGTCCTCTGATGCTATGGTTCTTCAATATTTTTAGTATCTGAATATTAAATAGAATATCAAGCAAAACTTTAGAAGCAATATTATTCCAAGGAAGAAATAGTGAACCGAAAAAGAAGAAAAAAGTTCTAGCAAGATGCGCTTGTAAAGACAGCTTGAACGTTTACAATTTTAATACTACAGACTAAGCCAATAATATAAAAAATGAACACATACCATGTCACTGATTAAATAAACTGGAAAGCTCTCTTTGAATCACTTGAAGATATATTTTGTGACAGAACATAAGCTGAATTCACAATTTATTAACCCAATAAGCTGACACTATTGTGAACTAAATTTTGATAATCACAAACACACGTTGAAAAAGTCTAAAAGTTTACTTGAGCTCAAAGCAGTCATTCACATATTCATGTATCTATCAAAAAATCAAACCATATGACCAAGTAAAGCATGAAACAAGCATTTGATCTAACGGTTTTTTTTTTTTTTAACTTCAGATGTACAATAAATATTAATATACTTATGACAGCTCAAGCTCAAGTTTTAAAATCCTAAATACAACCTTGTAACTAGTCAAAATTGACATTTATGTTTTTAAATAATTATGTACATTTAGGAATACATCAAATCCTCTTAAGACGTACCACAATAATTATTTTTTACAATGCTACGCCAAAATTTAGGAAATTAAGAAAATCTATTCTAATACTTTATGGGTTTCCATTTCCTTCAATAGAACTTCATAAAATAGGAGCCGCCATTAAGTGCTTGCATTGCTACATAAAATAATTGAGTGCAGTAAAATTTTCTAAACAAGCCTTGGTGGATTAACAAACCTCCATCAACTCATCATCTCATTATTAACAATTTTTCAGATCTCTGTTAACCTAGTTTGGCACCCTTATATCTCTATATTTTAGACTCTCACTGATTTTTATCATGCAAAGAGACACTATTTAAGTTGTCCAGTGATCTCTATTTGTAATAGCCATTAGAGTAAAGAGACACAGTATGCCCATACAGTAAGTCAAACCATGCCTAACTTGTGTATGCATTGACTTATTTGAAATTAACATCATATGCATGCATGTTTAACCAATGTGAAGCGTCGACATGCACGACACAATATGAATCCAAGAATTTTTCTCTCTAAAAGATCATGCATGCATCCTCTATAGCAAGTGTGAATTTTGATAACCTTTTTTCCTTATTGAATACATAGATAATTCACCTATAAATAGGCGAATAAAAGATATAAAAGGAGGAAAGAAATCTTCCTACAATTAAGTAATTCCTATAATTATGGAATAAGCATGAATACCTATAATTAAGGAATTACCCTTTTTATACTATGACAAAATATAGCAAGTACTAAATAGAATAAAGTAAATAATAATGAGCATAACTCCACACTCCCCCTCAAGGTGGGTTGTACAGATTGTGCATGCCCATCTTGTTGGTTAGCTCATCAAAACTGGACTTAGGGAGAGCCTAGGTGAGAATATCTGCGATTTGGTCTCTAGGAGTATAGACCACTTCAATGATTTCATTGTCCACCTTCTCTGAAATGAAGTTTCTATCAATCTCAATGTGTTTCGTTCGGTCATGATGAACAGGATTCTTTGCGATACTGATTGTAGCTTGATTGTCACAGAACATCTTGATAGAATTTTCTCCCATAATTCCAAGCTCCCTGAGAAATCTTTTGATCCACATTCCTTCACAGATACCAAGCGTCAGTGCTCGGTATTCTGCTTCTGCACTACTCAGAGATATCACCGATTGCTTCTTACTTCTCCAAGTCACTAGATTGCCGCATACATACGAGCAATACCCAGAGGTTGATCGTCGGGTGGATATATCTTCTGCCCAGTCAGCATCAGTAAAAACTTCTATCTTTTGATTATCATTCCTTTTGAATAATAATTCTTTCTCAGGTGTCATCTTTAAGTATCTTAAGATACGGTTGACAGCTCCCATATGTTCCTCAGTAGGACAGTTCATGAATTAAGTTACTATACTTACTGAAAAACTTATGTTTGGTCCGGTGTCGGATAAGTAAATAAGTCTTCCAACAAGCCGCTGATATCGTCCTTTGTCGACAGGTAAACTATCATTCTCCATTCCAATCTTTTTATACGGGTCTATTGGAGTATCTATTGGTTTGCATCCAAGCATGTCAGTTTCCTTCAATAGGTCCAATGTGTACTTCCTTTGAGTTACAGCTATCCCCATTTTGGATCTTGCAACTTCAATTCCCAAGAAGAACTTCAAGTCTCCGAGGTCCTTGATTTCGAATTCATGGGCTAGGAACTTCTTCAGCTTTGTCAATTCTTCAGTGTGATCACCGGTAAGAATGATGTCATCCACATATACAATAAGTACAGCAATCTTCTTCTCGGATCTTTTTGTGAACATTGTATGATCAGCCTGACTTTAAGTATAACCGCACTTGATTACGGAATTGGTGAATCGGGCAAACCAAGCACGGGGAGATTGTTTGAGACCATACAGAGATTTTTGGAGCTTGCATACTTTGCCACTAGGGAAGGACCCTTCAAGACCAGGC